CGATCACACACGATCCGTTCATCTACCACTACCGCTTCCGCGCTTCTTGCTTTCGCGAGGTGCACATCCACGTGCATCTCTGGCATAGCGGGATGCCAGGAGCCCTTGGCGCGAAGGAGACAGGGACAGGCGGCAACAGCCGCGAAATACGAGCCAAGCGTCAACCCGACGCCGACCAGAACAAGAAAGTGCAGATCTCGAAGGAGCTCAAGGCGCTCACACGGGGCGAGAAACCCAGATTCGGATTGTTTTCTCACGGCAGACACTCAGGAACGCACGGCAACGTCGAGAGCGGCAGGGCATCACTTAAGACGCTTTGCTGTTGCTGGAAGCGTGCTCCATTGTGCTGGCGATGCAGGAGAAGACGAGCAACGACTCGTCCCGCGTGAAGGGCAAGAAGGATCAGGATCCCGGGCCGCCTCACCGATACTCCTGCGGTGGAGCTCTCAGGACCTACGCCGACGTCAAAAAAGGCGCAACTCCAAGCTTCACTTCTCGATGCCCGAGAAGTTGCGCAAATCACAGGATGCGGCCTGCGTGGAGTACGACAATGGTCGACCGAGAAGAAATGCGATTTGGTGCTGCACTGTCGAGTGGAGAAGGTCCTCCGGCGCGGGATGAAGAAAGGGACCGTCGCCGTCCGCGACCCGCAGTTCCGCATCATGACGAACAGGGCTCCCGACTGCACGGAGGGCGCAGAGAAGGGCGACAAGGCGCGAGCGACGTTTTTCGAGGCAGGAGCTTCTCGATGGCATGGAGGGCTAGCGGCGTCTTCTTCTTCCTCCTCGACTGTCGCGCCTCAGGCCCGCCTGCTGTGCTCACGATCTCTTGGTTCCTGGGTGCCCGATGGCAGTTGCGCTGTGGCAGTGGATTGCAGTGATATTGTCTTTTGGGATGGTACTTCTCACGGTGTACCTGCTGATGGGCGGGGTCACGTTGAAAACACATCGCGCCATGTCTCACGTGAAACGGGGTGACGCTCCAGATCTTCCTTTTCTGCCGGTTCAGGCGAACCGAGCGTCTTCAAGTTTCGGCTTCCGAGTTCGGAGGCCCCACTTCCTGAACGCGCAGTTTCAGACGCGACTTCTCGATTGTATATGGTTGCAGAATTCTAGGCCTCACCGAGTGCGATGCGTGGCGCATCCATAAATAGAAGACTGTTGTCGGGTGAGTGTGCAGATGCCCTTGCGCAGGCGTGGTACCAAGGCAGGGAAGAAGGCAACGACCGGCAGGTGACAAGTGCACTTGTCGGCGCCAGGGAGGCAACGAACGGCGGGTGCCAAGTGCATGTTCGGCGCCTCGAGCCACGATGCTACTTGACCACGGTGGTTGAGCTGCCCTTGCGCAGGCATGGTATAATGATCAGGTGCACGAGCCCCAACTGCTTGTGTTGTGTCGTCTCTAGTCGGCCACCTCGGCCTTCCTCGGTTTTCTTTCATCGGGCTTGCTGTCGAGGGTCTCTGCCGTGTGACTTGAGCCCCAGGGTCGGGAATCAATTTCTGCTTGCCTCAGGATACAACCCCGCGGGATTGATGCTGAATGCCTCCCGCATTCATATCATTCGTCGACGATTGTTGGGGCGTGCCCTGGGGCCGCGACGGTCCTGGCAGGGCATTGCCTCGTCGTTTCGAGGCTAGGCTATCGAAACTTTCCGCTGGAGCAGGCTCACCGCGCCATTTCCGTAGACCGAACATAGTTCGCGGCCACGTCAGACCAGGATGGCGCTCAGGGTGATTCAGGGCCACGGTCAAGGCCCCCCTCCTCCACCTCCTCTTCCCCCCCCTGGACGCAGTCGGCGCCTATGAGGGTGAGAGCCATCAGCAGCTCCGACAGCGGCGCCAGCAGCAGCCGCCTCCTCCACCAGTTCTGGTGCAGCGCTCTCAGTACCGCGGAGGGCAGGGCGAGCAGGTGGTCGGCAGCGTGGCGCGTCGCCTCAGCATCGCGCACCCCGACATGCAAGCCACCAGCAAGATCTTCAAGCAGTGCAGCGACCCCACTCAGACGACGACCATCGCGCTACAGCGTCAGCAGGAGAGGCTCGCCACCAGTCTTGGAAGGCTGAAGTGCTCCCGCAGCGAGAACGTATACGAGGAGATGGAGCGGGCCCAAGGCATCGAGGTCATGACCGCCACGGGGTTGAAGGGCTGCGTTGAAGATGCGTCGAGGCCCGTGAAAGGCCCATTCCCATGGGAAACGGACTACGGCCGCAAGCAGCACGACGAGCTCGAAGGCTGCTACACGAAGTGGTCGAAGGGCAAGCGCGGGCTCGGGTGCGACGTCGCAGACGGGAGGCAGCGCCCCGCCCCGCAGACGCCAGCGGGAGGCAACCGCCAGGGGCGTGCAGAGCGCCGCAAGCCGTCGCCCTCAGTCCAGGCGTGGAAGACGCACTGCGCGCTCATGGAGGCGCTGACCACCAACAGGGCGAGCGGCGACGCCAGGCTCGCGAGCGAGGAAGTGGCCGAAGCGGGTTGGGGGCTCGGCGTCACAGCGCTAGAGTGAG